CCACCCCGCCCAGGCCCCCCCCACCCTCCGCCCCCAGGGTCCACCCACGCAGGGTCCCGCCCATGCCCCGCCCCCACGGCTCACCCCACCCAGGGACCTGCCAGTGCCCCTGTCCCCCAGGGTCTGGCCCGGCCCCTGCATCTTTTGTCCCTCCAGTTAAACAGGCTACTGGCCCACCCACTGCCACCACACAGGCTTCTGCACAAAATCCCTCGTCTCCCAGGGCGACGCAGAACATCACCTCCACGGGGAGCCCTCCCTCCTCGCCCCAAGAAGCAGCCCCACCCTGCGTCCTTCCCCACACTCACCCCAACTCCACACGTGTGCTCTGGGACTACGTGTCGGGTGTCCCGACACGGGGCAGACCTCACGGGGCCTCACCTCCGATGGTTCTGTCCGCGGCCAGAGCTCCCCACTTTACAGAATGTACTTCCTGATGGACGGAGGAGTCCACTTTACGGACACCCAACAAGCTCCTAAACTCGCCGTGGTCACAGAGCCAGTGACGGCTGTGGGAGAAATCCACCTCTCACAGGGAGGAGGCACTCTGCTAACCATCTCTGAAAAGTCACCGTCTACCCCGAAGCCCTTAAAGGACCGTCACCGTCCTGAGCTGCCCTTGCTTCCCAGGTGACCTTGGCCACGTCATGCCTGTCCCTGTGCTGAGGACACCCAGGGGGTGAGGCGGGGCCTTTCCCAGCAGGGACAGGGCCACCCTCAGCTCGCTGACCTGCCTGGCACCACACTTTGCCCCTCGGCGCATCTGCCCTGCCAGCGGGAAGGCCCTGCGTCCTGCCAAGTCGCAGTCCAGCTGGGCCACTGACAGGCTTCCCTGGCCACGGAGGGCGTGGCGACTCACGTGAGCACCTGCAGGTCCCCCAGTGCCCCGAGAGGCCCACCGCTTCTCACCTGTGCAGCTCCGCTGCGGCTCCCAGTGGACCGTGACGCCCTCCCGCTGGCAGGCCCGGGTGTAGGCCAGAAACGACTCGCAGTAGCAGCTCTTGTGGGCCGGACACTCGCACATGTCTGTCACGCATGACCTGTGGGGGACAGACAGACGTAAACCTTGGTGCCAGATACCCTACTGGGTGTGCAGAACACACGCCGAGGGCTGGAGCCTGCAGCCGTAGTCTGAGAGGTGAGGCCAGCACCCACAAACGGTGTGAGGGTTGTGTGCAACCTGAGCCTGGGGCCCTCAACACGCAACCCAGGCTTCCCCGAGAGCCTGCCGGGGTGAGAGGGCGCTGGGAGCCCTCGGTCTGCAGGGCAGCCCCGATGCATGGTCTGGGCTCTCGGGTGTGGCAGTGCCTGAGGGACTCCATCTCCAGCTTGACCTGCTTGGATGAGCTCAGCTGTGACAGTCCCGTGCCTGGTGGCTGCCCTGTGGGAAGCCAGCCCTTCAAACAGCCCTGGCAGGATGGTCTCACTGCGCTCCAAGCCCGTGGTGACCAGACGCGCTCTCTGAAGGTTTACAAGGAGAATTCACGTTTGCAATACCTTATTTTTCCTTTTCCTTTTATAAGGTTTTTGTCATAGGGCACATGTGCTTGCTGGGCAGAGAGAGAGAAACAGTGAGAGGGAAAGTGAGAAGTCACCCCAGGAGAAGGGGACACCACGGGCCCTTCTCGTCCGTTCTGGGATTTGGGGCACACATGTACAGGTGCCCAGTGTAAGTCTCAAACCTCCAGGTCCAGGACTTGAACCACGGTCTACCATGTGGGAGTCCAGTGCCTTATCCACCATGCCACCTGCTGGCCCCGAGTCTTAGTCTTTTAAAGAACTCTGAATCTTCTTTAGAATGCAGGTGACAAATTCCAAATACGGCAACATTTTAGGCCCCTAGTTAGACAGAAAGACAGAAAAGACTGGACGCACTCCAGTGTGAAAGCGGAAAGGATGGACCAGGACAAAGGCGGACTGGAATGTGTGTAGATCAAACCCCCCACCCGCCAGCAGGCAGCGCGGCGCGGCACAGGCTCCTTCTGAGGAAAGGGGGCGACTCACACCTGGCCGCTCCTGCCATGGGCAGAGGGCTAATCCCACCGCATCCTAACCTGGAGAACCGCGCTCTTACGGCCCACACTACCACCCTTACCTTCACATCCCAGCAAGTTTGTGGCCTAACAGCTCTGAGCTAACGTTTAAGCAAAAGGGCCTCAAGATGAATCACACAATCCACTGTTATTTTTTCATGCCCTTGTTTGGAAAACCCCCTTCCTCACAGAATCCAGGGAAAAGTTGAACAGAGAAAACTGGACTCAGGGTCAGAGGTGCAGCTGACCTTGAAGGGGTCACGGCACGTCCACCCGCCACGGCCAGTCTCCCTCGGTGGGGAGGTGCAGACACTGCTGCAGGGCCCCAGGCCAGCTCCCCGGGGCCGGCGCCGCTGGCTTGAACACGCATCCCGGGCAGAAATCGGCAGCCCCTGGTGTCGTCACGACCTTGGGAAACGGAACCAGCAGGAACAAGGACACAGACAGGGCTAAAACCGCGGGCCTCCACTTCCTCGGCAGGTACCGGCTGGCACAGGAGATGCAGCGCGGGCCGGGCTGGGCCAAGGCCTGGTCTCGTTCTGATTCTCAACGCCGTTTCCCACCGTCATCACAGGAGCCCGGGCAGACACAGCAGCCTTTCCAGGGCGGAACTTGTGGGTTTGCCAAGAACGGCCAGGCGAGCTCGTCCGCAGAGCACCTCACGGGTCTCCGAGGCGCACCTGCCTCACCCCCTTCGGGCTGGCCATGATTTCAGGAGCGCCACCCTCCCCGGTCACGCTGGGACGTCCAGGTGTGTCCCCACCCTCCCTGCCCTGCACCAGCTGTGTCCCCACCCTCCCTGGCCCATGGGGCATGGGTCCCTCTCCCGGGACACCGCTCCCGCTGAAGTGGAGTGGGTGGACGGCAGCTAACAGGCTCCTGAGACCTGGTGCTTTCTTGGCTCGGCAGGAGGGCACGCTCCCCCACCCCTGTGGTAAGAGTGTCTGCTGTCACCCTGGAACTGCTGGGACAGTAACGTGACTCCATGTCCTGCGTGTAAGGAGTTGTAAGCGTGCCTTGCCCCTTCCTCGTGCACCCCGGTACTCTATGAAGGCGTGGGCTCTGAGCCTGGCAGGAAGGTTCTGGCACACACCGAGAACCACTGACGTGGACACCACCTCACCCACGGGCCCTCTACCCACGGGGCCATGTGGACGGTAGCCACCCAGCGGGAAATGGCAGACTCGGCCTTCATGTAACGGCGATCGCGGGGAACACTGTGGGGAGACTGCTGCCAGGGCTGGCTCCTCACTCGATTGCCCGACCTGCTTCTGGAGGCTTCCAGGCTGCGTCTCGTCACAGCAGTTCACACTCTAAGGTGTTTCTCATTTATCAAGTGGGTGAATTTTACAGCAAATAGTGCTCGGGGTTTGTGGGCGAGGGGAGCAGGTCACCGCCACTGGGCAGCCCCAGAGGAGACTCGGCACTGACTTCCAGGGTGCAGGTGCACGCGGGCCAGACACGGACAGGGTGAGGCCCGACCTCGCCCTGCACAGACGGGGTGCACTGATACATGCAGGCCAGACATGGACGGGGTGAGGCCTCACCTTGCCCTGCACAGACGGGGTGCACTGGTGCACGCAGGCCGGACACGGACGGGGTGAGGCCCAACCTCGCCCTGCACAGACAGGGTGCAGGTGCACGCAGTTATTTAAGGTAAGTAAAAAAGGGAACCACCTGAGTTATCTACAAGGGCCCAAAGAGGAAAGTCTATCGACTCCTAAGGATGAATAACGCAGACATTACAGTGAGGTTTTGGTTTAAAAATCCATATGTTTCTCCATGACAGAGCATGTGTGTCCGCAGGAGGGGGCTCCCTGCCAGGCTAGGTCACACTGTGGTCCCCTTCGCAGGCCTCCAGCCCCCAGGCTGTGGGTGTGTATACACGCACCCGAGTGCCTAGGGCTGCCCAGGCCTTGCACGCGAACCCGGGTCAGCGCGAGGCCTCTGCAGGCTGGTGTGCTCCATCTGTGCCACAGCGCATGAGACAGGTGCGTTTGACAGGACGGGAAAGGTACAGAAGGGACTGTGAGAGTTGGGAGGGACGGCATGAGCTGGGACACTGTACGGCCACATCCGGGAATCAAACACCTGGGCAGGGGTGTGCGCACACACGCATCAGTTCTCGAGGTGCGAGCATGGTTCTGCACTTTCTCAGCCTGTATTCTCTCTCTCTTCTAAAGTTTGCCATAGGGTGCAGGCACTCACCAGAGAGAGAGAGAGAGAAGGCAAGAAAACACCCGTAAGAAGGGGTGGCCACGCCTGAATCCCTCTCCTCCACTTCTCCCTCCTTTGGGGAGTTTGGACACACACACGTACCCACCGTGGTTTTCAGGCTGCCAGGGCTGGACGTGAACCACGCAGTCAGCCACATGGGATCAGTGGCCTTACCTACCACGCCACCTACAGGCCCTTAGAGTGTACTTTCTGCGGTGACCATGGGCCACTTTTCTAAAATAATAAATATCACACTTTACTTTTAAAACAACGGAAAAAGAAAAGCATGAAACGTGCTACCATTTAAATGAGGAACTTCAGCAGGGAACAGACTTGTGAGATTCGCAGCTCCCACTGTGGTCTCACTTGCTACCCGTCTCCCCAGCGAGTGGCCTCCCCATGTGTGTCCTGGCCGCCTCCACCCAGGCTGAGTCGCTTCGCAGCTCCGCCCTCCCACTTCCACGTCGCTGGGCGCTGAGGCTGTGAGCTCAACACCCAGACGGCCGGGACGATAACGGGGCAACTGAGCGTGCGTGCGCCGGCTGCAGAGGGACTCCCTCTGGGAAAAGCATCTCCCGTGCACGTCCCAGGGCGGGGACAAGTCCACTGCTGGTCAGCTGTGTGATTCCTGCTTGTCCACCAGTAATGTGCTCGGAGGGGATGCCATCTAGACAGCGGGACGGCACTTTCCGGAGCCCATGGAAGACGGTGCCCGTTCCTTACTTGGGGTGACCGCCTCTGCACCCCGAGGTCCATGAGAGTGAGCCGCACCAGCTCGCAGAGACACTGGGTCTCAGGCCTCGGGGGTCTCAGCCCTCGGGACACGACCCGTCGCCACTGTGCTGTCCAATGTCAAGCTGATCACGGGTGCAGCCGCCTCCCACCGCCGTGGGACACCACGCAGGCCCGGAGCTGGTCCAGGACGAACTACTGCCCCAGAGACTCAGGGGCTGTGAGATAGGATGGTGCTCCCCTGGCGTCTCACTGGCACCTACAAGGACAGGGCCAGTTTCTGGGCACCGGAGCCAAGGTTCCCGCCATCTGGACCTTGGCCCGCTTCTCCAAGCCCGCCCCTCTCCTGCGCATCCGTCAGCCGCGGCGTCCCCCACCTGCTCGTCCTGTGTTCACATTCAGGGAAGAGCCAGATGCCGCTCCTTTAGGACGGCTCGCATTCCTCGGGGGTGCTTGCTGATCAGCTCACAGAAAGTCTCCTGCCAGCTGCCACGCCCTCCTCCCTGTCAGGACAGACCCTCGGCACCTGGATCCCGAATCCCCGCTGCCCCCTCGGGCGGTGAGGACTGCTGGTTCTTCCGGCCTAGAGCTGGAGCCTCGAGCTCAGCTCCCGAAATGTCCCGTGCATCATGGAGGAACAGACAAGCCTCCGCAGCCTCCTCAGGCCTGGACAGCTGGCCACCGGCGTCCTCAGGCATGAGTCCCGTCCTTGTCCCCAGTCCCTGACCACTGCTCACCAAGGGCGTGGCCGTGGCCGTGGCTGAATGGAGCTGCTCCCACATAGCCCTCCTGCGGCCTTCCCCACTCCCGTGCTCACACTCCGCTCCTGCGGCCAGGGATTTCCTCCTTTCATTTAAGGGCGGGCAGAAAACAGACCTTGACGAGAGAATTCCACTTTAATGACGCATCTCCGGGAAGTCACACATCTGATGTTGTGACAGAGGCAGCCAGTGACGGACTTTCTCTCGTCCAGGGTCCATCCTTGTGACCTCCGACCCAGCTCAGCTCGGAGCTCCAGACCAGTCACGGGCCCCTGCCGAGGTCACGCCGGCCCCTCC